TCGGGTCTACGGTGTGGGGCAGGTCGATTTGGGTGGGGCAGGTCAAGGAGGTTAGAAGTACTAGGAGGGGGCACGTTGCAGTATTGGTGAAGCCTAGTCATAAAAAGTTTAAACGATTTTGTGCCCAGCGTGAACGCAGATCTCTCTGGCGATTGGTGCGCGTGACATGTCACGGATGGTTGATTGTAGAAGGACTCCTTGCAGGCTTGCGCGCGCTCCGTCCGGTAGGTTTTATCAGGTCGAAGTCTAGACTGTGGTGTATTCTAGTACCCCACAGCAAGACGAAGTCTAGCTACGGTCACGTGATGTGGTCACGTTGGCATGGTAAGTGAGGAGAGTAAGGAGGAAAATGAGAAAGAGGCGAGGCGTCAAGGGAGCATGGCTTGTGGAGGCTACGCGGCCGACGTCATGCCCTCTCCTACCCTTCTATTCTCCATGGGGCAGGTCGAGTTGGGCGAAACCACTTTATACCAGTGTTGCCTGCTCTCCATCCAACTTCTCCAAACAGTTGACATGTTTACGAAATATGGCAAGAATGTTTATGAAACTAAATACCGCGTACCTTTATTTCACAAATATAAAATAGCGCGCTACCTTAACAGACAACCATATGCGTTAAATTAGTGCTCTTCGTGCTCTGCGTATCGGAATTTCTCTCGCGCACTCTTTCGCAGTGCGCATGCAAGTTTTTCTGAGAGAGTGCACCGCCCGCCAGCCTTCGGCTCCATCGTAGGGTGACACGGACTATAGGGGTATATCTTCGGCACGGCTCCCCTCTGTACATCGCAATGATTGGTTCCCCGAGCGCTATGCGGGAAGGTCGACGTACCGGCATTTATCCAATGCCCAACGCGAACCTGTTCATCGTTTTGGAATGCAAGATCTCCCTTTCCCAACGCCGACATTGAGAAATCATTGTGCCACATTAAAAAACAAACAAAAAAAGCAACAAAAAAAAAACTGTAAGCCATTTTTGTTGGGTACGCGCGCGACGGAACGAGTGGGACTGTAATGTATAGTTCTAATTATTTGTTTTGTCTTAGGATAAGTTTTGACGGCGCCGCGGGATTCGCCGCATGTGAAAGGACAAAGCGCTTTGCTGTCAAAAATAAATTGCAACAGAAGAGGGCCGAAAGGCATGCATTTTTCACGCTCACAAATAACGTGTTTACCGATGGACAGGACACGGACATACAATTATGGAAGTGTTAACATTCCAACAATATATCGTACGTACCACACGATGAAGCGTTATCCGAAAAGAATTTATTTGAGAAAGATCTCAAATAACACAGTCACAGCCGACGACAGTCACATCTTGACAATCGGACGGAATCCGAGATGACTTCGTTTTGGGGCACGTTTTGGGGAGAGCTTCCTTTTTTCACAACCGCACCAAGGCAAAGAAACAAACGCAACTGACTCGTTTCTCACCCCAACCCGGACAACTATTTTTGGAGATGACTGAGGATTCTCCGCGGATTATCTCTGGGAGGGGGGAGAACAATCTTCGCAAAATCGCGTTGAGGGTCGTTCGACGTCATTCACCTCCTTCGTTTCCCGTGAATGTCGAGCAGAAAAGCTTGAATGGCAGGCACTTACCAGCATTATTTCTCACAATGGAAGATAACACAAAAAGGCTACGCAGCACGCATAAAAAAAATTAAGTGGAAACTTTCAAGTGGGGCGAGAAAACGTCGAATGCAAAACCGTAAAAAACGTAGGTAGAGAACCGGGCTGAGCGGGTCTTCACAGTCCCAGAGAGTGGCAGAACATTTCTAGCTGATAGAGGGCGCGAGAGTCGCACCAGCCGCATCAGCATCAGCAACATGGCGGCGGCCTAGGAGCGTTTTTTGGAAAGGTGTATAAGTAGAGGGAAAAATGTTTCTCTAATTTTAGCGGTGAATTTTTTTCCCTAAATTTAGCGGGGAAATTTTTCCGCTAAATTTAGCGGGGAAATGTTACAACTATATTTAGCGAACGTTTTCTTCTAAATGGGAGGGGAGGAGGAGGGCAGAACACGGAGGGGAAGGGGCATACCCTCTTCTCCGTACCCTTGCTACCTCCTCCTCAAGAGCTGCGCTCTAACTCGGCATTGCAGAGAATACTTGGGTTGCACGTGACGTCATTCAAAGAGCGGTCCGATCTCCACCAGAAAAGAGGGGAAGAGGGAGCTCCCCTCTTATCAGGATCCTCTTTTATGCCTCCCGGATTTGCACAGGCGTCCCTATTCTCCTCCTCTTACCTGGTGGTCAGAAATATGTAATGTGACGTCAGTGCAACCCATGTATTGTAAACGTCCTTCATTTTTTTTAAATTTTTTTAATGTAAAACATTTATAGGCTAAGTTTTCAGATGATGTTAAGCCACAAAATGAGGCCACATAGCTTCATGTCACGTGACCTATGTACACATTTAGTTTCCCCGCTACATTTAGCGGAAAGACTGACGTCACGTGACATGGTCGCGTGACCTATACGCAAATTCAGATTCACCGCTAGATTTAGCAGGAAAATCGATGTCACGTGAACTCAACAACAATTCAGTTTTCCCACTAAATTTATAGGGGAAAGTAACGTCACATGACTTCCTGACACCTGACCTATATACAAAATCAGCTTCCCCACTAAATTTAGCAGAAAAATTGACGTCACGTGACCTCATACCTAATGTTTAGTTTTCCCGCTAAAGTAAGTGGGGAAAATTATGTCACACGGCTTCATGACACGCGGGATTGACGTCACGGAGCACCGGTGGCGCTGCGATTGCGCCGGAGCTGGGTGGTGTGGGTGAAAGGGCGCACGTCTGGCGTAGGCGTCATAACATTTCAGCTTGCCTCAAAGCTGTGAAGCCATTTATTGCACCGAAAGATTAAGGGAAAGCAGCGGAGAGAGTTTCCACAAGTTCCCGGCTGGCTCTGCAAGGCGTAGAAGGTGGATAATATCCGTGTATGGAAAAGAATGGTCGCCTCGCGCGGACGACCGTTTGTGCAGCAAGTACTTTATTGAAGGCAAGTGTGGCTTCCATTTCGATCTCCGTGCCAATGCTTGCTTATGTTCAGGGAAACCGTGGTCTGATTGAGACCACCCAGATTTCGTTCCCACGTTGTTCGCGCACGAAGCACTGGCCAAGCGCTCGTCGGAGGCTCGCTACGCCCGTGCTATCAAGCGGAAGGAGATTGGCGACAGAACAGACAAGGCGTTACCGTCTGTCGTGCCTATTTGTGGTCATGAGGGTAAGAAAATTATCACACCTTGACTTGAAGAGTCTGTGTATATTAAATAAATTAATAAATACACTGCATCAGACTTACAGTTTGACGATTCCGCCGGCAGCGCGAAAACCGGCTCGAAGTAATCGTAAGCCTCCAGAGACTTGTACGCCTGCAGCGTGTCGGCCGTGAACTGACTTGGCGAAAGAAACTAAATAAACGACGACGTGAGCAGTCGACGTCGGCGGCAGCTTCACGTCGGAAGTCCAGCAGGTCTTGTTTACGGCGTGCGAATCGTCGAAGGCAACGCCGTCCACGCACAGTTTGTTTCCATACGGCTACCATTCAGGCTCGGGTAGTGAGCTCAAATAGCCGGGCATAACGTACGACATGCGTTGACTGGAAATACGACGCGCAAATAAAGCTAGAAGTGTTTCTACAACAGCAACAACGAGCGCACGCCACAGAACGTAATGGCGAACCAATGACGAAATCACGAAGATCCTGACCGCTTCTGCCCAAGTAGCTTCTGCGCATGCGCGGCCTTCCGGACGTGTTGGTAAACAGAGCCGCGCCGCGCGTCGGTCTATAAACAAATTCAATTTCCCTACTAAATTTAGCAAAAAAATTGACATCACGTGACACGGTTACGTGACCCATACGCAAGTGCAGTCTCCCCTATAGATTTTGCGGGAAAGTTGAAGTCACGGACGATGCCAATTCAGTTTTCCCGCAAATTTTAGCATGAAAAATGTCGTCACATGATTTCCTGTCACGTGACCTATACCCAAATTCAGTTTCTCCGCTAGGCTTAGCAAGAAAATTGACGTCGCGTGACCTCAACACCAATTCGGTTTCCCCGCTAAATTTAACGGGGAAACCGAATATGTGATATCATGTCACGTGAAATGATATCAGATGACATCATGTCACGTGACCTATACACAAATTCAATTTCCCGCAAAATTTAGCGGAAAGGTTTACGATGTTACGTGGCATATACGTAAATTCAGTTTCTCCACTAAATTTAACGGAAAAAATGACATCACGGGGCTTGATGTTACGTGACCTCCACACAAATTCAGTTTCCCCGCTAAATTTAGCGGGAGAGTTGACATGTGACCGGCCTCAGCCCGTCATTCCCCATCATCTGTGGACACAAGCCGACCCGACGAAAAAGTCAATAGGTCACTGAGCCAATGAGTCAATGTGGTGTGGAATATAATAGCGCTAAACCAAGAACGTTTCACGTAGCCCGGCCATCGAGGGGCCGTGTTCGTAGCAACACAATTGCAACAAAATTTGCGATACAGCTTTTTTTTTTTTTTTTTTTTTTTGTAAGTGCTCTTTTTTTATGTTTAGTGGAAAACGGGCGTAATCACCGATCGTTACGATTGGCGAAATCTACTTCTCATGCTTTAGTTACAGTGTCAGGAAACACAGGCAATGGCGTTTTGCTCGGTCACGAACTGTTTAACATTTCTGGAAAACGGAAAGCCATACTTCGTGATTTTAGGTAAAGCTTTAAATTACTGGCAACCATGATTTGAGGCACCAAGATGGCTGGCGCAGCGTTACTTTGAAGCGTAGCTTATTTGAAAGCTCTAGCAGACGCCATACGTTACAATTTCGATGATAGCTGCTTCAAGATTCATTTTATTTGAAGTGTTACAAGCCGGAATGTTAGCACCTGTGCCAGAGCCTTTATTTAAAAATGGGTGCACGAGCAAGAGGCTTCGCGTAATATCTTTCGAAGCCGACTTTAAAACCCGCCACGAGAGTCTATTTGCTACTCCGCACACAAGAACATGCCTGGCGCAGCCGACAAGCGTTTGAGATGCTGATTTTCTACGCGTCTGTGCTTCACTAGTTGCTCCATGTGGCCGTACCCACTCCGGACGCTCATCGACTTGAGGACCTGGCAGACCGCGGTGACCCCGGCGGCGGACGCGACGTAGTGGACGGGCGGGAAGCCGAATCCGTTGAAGCCCGAGGCTCCGACCAAAGTGTAGGCGCCCATGTTATCCATGAGTAGCCATTCGTTGACGAACACCTCGAAGAGCGGCTGTTTGTCCAAGATGCAGTCCAGGGGGTTGCAGGTGGCGCCCCACACCGTGCTCAGGAAGTTGCAGGGGCGCTCGTAAGGCGGCTGCGCATGCCCAGATGCTCGATTAGTGCTCGTGAGATTGTATATGCGGTAAAACTGTGATGGCGTGGGCGAGCTGGTGTAAATATACCATTTTATTGAACCCCATGAGACAAGGTGGTGAACGAGAAGAACTAAAAGTAAAAGATAAAATAACAGAGTCACACGAGGCGACGTCTCGAACTCAGCTGACTTGTTTATACAGTAGTTTTATACAGTAGCATTTTCATTGTATGTAACATTCTCAAGATCAACAACCAAACACCACTCACACAATAAGTTTTTGTGTGGCAACCTCCCCTCCCCCCCCCCCCCCCCTGCTTTAATTACCTGCATATACGCATACTTATGATCCTAGCTGCTTGAATATCCTTATTATTATATTATAAGATGAGATCCCTGAGGAATCCCACGAGAACTACGCGCACATGAAGACAGGACGGAAGGAGATGCCTCCCCTCTCAGTACTTCCTAAACAGTAACGATTACAAGCATTACATTTTGGCGTCGCGACCGAAGTATCAGGTTATGTTTTATATAGCAAAGCATGAACCAGACATTATTGTCTTTGACAGTCTCGCATTTCGTCTTTGGGTCAGTTTGTTTTTCTCCTTTTTTTTTCAAGGAAAATAATATGGACGGAAACCAATTCTCTACGCGCTTACGTTAAGGGGCCGCATTCCGATGTCCATGAATCGAAACAGGTCTCGGTTGATACAGTTGCAGAGGCTCTCGTTGATAAAGATGTCCTTGTGGTTGAGAAGTTTACCTGCGATGCAAGGTATGAAAAGTTGCTTGAGAAAAATAGGCCAAGTGCACCATTAGCAGCTGAAGGTCATTAGGTACAAAGCAACCACTTCACTGGTGCAATTAATGCAAGCATTCTTGTGGCTCGTGGCGTCACTAAAGGGGAGGGGAAGGGGAGTGTCGCGGCGGGCCACCGTGCCGTTGACCCTAGTGACGTCACGGTTTGTGACCTTCACTATTTGTTGGGTGAAATAAAAAATAGTCCTCAATCGGCTCACCGCAACGTTACTAGAACACTCAGTTGGGAAACTCGCCGTCGAAACCTGGGCCGCTAGCGTCCACCGAGACCGAGCTATATACAACAACAGTGCCACTCTTTATCATTTGCCTGTACTGTGGTCGCATTGAGCTTTTAGAAAGCATGTTTTTGCCTAAAAACAAGCGGAAAAGACTCTTTTTGTATGAAATTTGTTGGAGTTTAGTACAAAATGAAGAGCGCGTGTAATTTTTATCATCTTTAGTTTGCAAGGTTTTGCGGAACAATTCATATTGTTTTTATACAACCACGCCTCAGCGGTCCTTTCAGGTAGCGCGTCCCGACCTAGGTGCATTTTAACTTCAGTAGTAAGTCGCGGCGCGTCCACTGGGGAGTCGGGGGTGGCACCCCTGTAGCCTCTTCCGCTGTATCTGTTTCGGCACCAAAATAGCCGATGAAAGCCAAAACAGAAGTTACATGCAGTTCCTGGAGTGGCCGCTGCGGGAGAAATGGCGGCGTTGTGTTCGCCATTAGCTCGGTTCTGGTGGACAGATTGGGGCTACTTTTTCAGAGCAGTCTCTATGGGAGTTTCCCAACCGAGTGGTTCTAGTAACGTTGGCTCACCGTAAACAATGTTGATTCTGAGGACGGAGCACCCTATTTATCTGGCGTAAGATTAAGTCACCCAAACTTTGTTCTTATGCCATTTATCGGACAGACATTTTATTCTTCGGTATGTAACCTTCAATTATTGCACGGGCCTAATCACACCCAACCTCTTGGAGTGTTGCAGAGGTAAGGCCAATGTTTGATAAGAGCGTCTTCAGGGCTGGAATGTTTAGCGAAACGTAGTGTACACCTTTCTCGGCTTTTCCGGCAGATTTCATCCCTCTTTTTTTATACGAGAGCCTCCTTTGCGTGTAGAAAGCCACTTTTGTACACGTTACTGCAAAAAAAAAAAGTAATAGATTGCAATTACAATCACCCTTGCTTAAACAGTCTTAGATAAAGTAACTGGATTACTCGAGAAAAATGTAATTGCCCGTTACTTAAGAAAAAGTAGCCGCTACCTCTCTGATTACTTCAGCTTCTCAAAAGGAATAATATATCTGCTAGTAAAGACGGATTTTTCGTACTGTTCATTACTGCTAAGGATCACCGAGTTTTTTCGCAGGTAGTCAGCGAGTTTTTCGCCGGAGTTCTACGTTCGATTGTGTCCTTATGCTTTGCGCAACAAAGAAAAAAAACCACGGAAGTCCGCCATCATACGGTGATTCTTTGTGTTTACGTGGCTCGTCAGCCTCAGTCTAGAGAACGCTGGTGCTCAAAAATGGGATTTTTTTTCTTCTTTATTATGCGTCATATTATACTAATGTGAGTGCCCTCAGTAACACATCACGTCACAGGCATTTCTAGCAACCTGTGCTTTCTGTAAGAACACTTTAGGGTGGAATTGGTCGAAACCTGCATGGAAAACTGGTCGTAAAAGAACAGCACGCTCGTTGAGGGAAGTTTAGAGTATCACTAACACCTAGGAGCCCTGATAATGCCAAGAAACAGCGGGAAGACATTGAGAAGTTAATGGGCAGCGCCACCCTGTTTGTTCTGACATTCTTCGCTCCTCCCACCTTGTTCCGGCTCTGCTTGGGGCGCACTGGTGGGGATTTCCCAAAGGAGGAGGGACTAAAATGCAGGCTGCGTTAAAGGGGTACTCCGCCGATTTTCGAGCTACCTCAACTAACTATACTTTCTGACTCCCAGGCCTTTACCCTTTCTGGTATGCTATTTAGTATCGTGAAATTCATAATAGTTATTGCGAAATCGGCAAATGAAAATGTTGCAAAAACAGAAATTCAAATATACCCGCCCTTTTCTGGGCCGTGACGTCAGTGGAAGTTCAGCTTGCCAGTCGGGCGAGCAGTCTAAAAAATAGAATATGCCAATCATCTGTTCCGTGCTGGAGCGCGGGGACTGGAGCGAGCTTCCAAGGCATTCATTTGACACCATGAAACTGCTTCGAATCAGTTGGAAACAAATTCTACAGTCCAAAGAGTGAACCACTGCACTTCCAATGACGTCACTTTTTCATTGTTGCCAGTAGAGACTTTCAGTTTGAAAAACACGGTGAGGACCAAAATTGTAAATTCAATAACTTCGTGAAAAAAAATTATTTTGACCTAATATTTGGGATACTATTCTGGCGATGTTGTTTGGCGAGTTTAGCAAAATTTCAAGCAAATCGGGGACCATGAAGAAATCGGCGGAGTACCCCTTTAAAGGCTACCAAATTTATTGTATAGTGGAAGTACCTGCTGTCCTGGTTGTTCCTTTTTTTTTCACTCGAGAGTGTTGTAGTGCAAGCTGAAAGATCTTTTAAAGTTAGCTGCGGTACTTGGGATACTTGGCTGGAGGGGGACACCGGTGGAATGGAAGGCACATTTATTGAAATTGTCACTTTTTTACAATTATATCTTGTGTTTGGGCCCGGCTATTGGCTATGCAAAGTTAATGTCATAGGTGAAGGTATCTACAACAAAAAAAATTAATAGTCAGTGCCGCCTATGGGGATAATTAATTTTGTGCAAGCGAGAACCTCAGTGTCAAATGAATGGACAGCTTTAGTTGTTTATAACGTATTTCATTTCACTCCATTTACTGTCAAGTCAAAGTGAGAAATTGGTTACCTTGTCAGTTAAAACTCACCGCTGATTTCGATGTCTTTCCTCCTCTCGGCGACCACTCTCGTGACCAGCGTGTATGCTGAGGTGACAAAAAACTGTCCCGGTTCAGCGATCACACGGACTCCGCTCGAGGCCGGAAAGTACTCGTCGACGGCCAGCCGAATGGTTTCGCAAAGCTGCGATGAAACGAGTACCATGTTGACTGCTCTTGAGAACAAGGCTAACCTTCCTGAAATGCCCTCTTATTTTCGACAATTATTTACTCGTTTGATGGGAATTCTTTAGAGGTGCTTTCAGTCCGAAGACCTTTAAAGAATCGGGTAACCCGCGCATGCCGAGGGGCAGGCGCAACATCAGAATAGCAAGTTCATTCACCGATTCTATCAAGCAACGGTCTTCAGACTCAAGGCATTTAAAATTACCCTGAAAAAATTATATCAAACCGTTATGTTCAGCATCAGTACTTTCAATATACCGCGTAAAAAGTCGGAGAGAAAAAGCGTGGCTCGGTAGGGGAGGTAATGAAAGTTTAGTTTCTGCGGCTTGCTGTAAGAGGTGTTAAAAAGATACGCGGCGGCACTTTCCCTATAAATCGGGACATTTCTCAAGTGAACTGCAATCTCGTCACACGAAACGCGCACAGCCTACTTCTACAGAAGTCCACAGAGGCCTCTAACTTGTAAATTGACTGACTTTGTCTTTCAAATGCCAAAGCATATACGAATTCAGGAGAAAACTGCTACATTCGGCATATTCGCCTCGTGCTAGGCAAAATGCCTTTGAAGAAACAGTCTCGCTGTAGTTTCGTAGCGTCCACATGAAATTATCTAAAGCAGGGGTCTTCAAACATTTTGGCTAAGGGGTGGGATCGAGGATCTGTCGCCGTCTCAAGAGCCGGAATATAAGTAAATAGTAATTAAAGACAAATGCTCCTAAAAAAGCATTTAAATACAAAATTAAATGTTGGAACAAACATGAAAGAAAAATCTAAGATGAATGAATATGTATCTTTTATTTTGAAATTAAATATATAGAGAATTACGACATTACAGGAATATTGAGACCCAGAGAGCTCACAAGGCATAAGTCATAGTGAGTAGGAACTTCGGCATGTTCACACTAGACTGCACTAGACGGAAGACTAATAAGAATGAAAAAAACTGATACTGAGAATATGAAAAATATACGACACTGGACACTAAGCACCGCACACAGGGGAACGCAAAGGAATTTTAATGTACAAAGTTAAACAGGTACGAAACAGAGGACTAACAATGGTGATGCTGGTGTCGCCAATGTCCAATGAATAATACTACAACGAGTGGTGTCCCCTCGTCATATTTTGACAATACGCAGTTTTCTGTAGTTTTTTTGTTTTCCCGGTATCTTCGTTTACGTGGTTGGAGCGAGTTGCAGCGCCGTTTCTTCAAGCGTGCTAATCTTTGCGCCGGTAGCAGCGGCCCTGCTCGAAGCGGGCCGCGGGCAGGCTTCATTGGAAGGACCGCGGCCAACCACGGGCCGTCTGGAAGACCTCTGTGGGCCGGATTTGACCCGTGGGCAGGAGTTTGGGGACCCCTGAATCTGAAGCGCCGTTTCCCAGGGGGAAAGCGAGATATTTCTATCGACCAGGGTGGAGAATGAAAATCAATATGATTTAAATTGTAATTTAAATCATGATTCAAATCGAACGTTGTTTGAATAAAACCAGTCACAATGATGATTTACATCAAACGTTTTCTGGAAAATAATCTCGAAAGTATTTTGTATTCACCGTTTATCTATCGTTTGATGCTTTCTTTGTGCATTTTGTAAAAAAAATATATATTGAAGAATTATTGAGCAAATAAGATTTATAAAATGCTGAACGCGAGAAAAAAAAAAAGGAGAAGGAAAGTCTTCTGAACAAAGCGGAGTGTTGAGCTTGGTTTTCTGCCTTCCACTTTGTTCATCAACTACGCAACGTCCTATTGCAAAAAAAAAAAAAAAAAAAAAAAAGAAAGAAAGAAACGAAAATTAGAAAAGGAACGCCGTATCGGATTCGTCAGAACTCGCAAGAAAAATCAAATAAAGCTTTTCAGCTAACAAAAAAAGACATGCAGTTTTTGTTTTACATTTTTGAGTTTCTTGGACATCAACGCCTTGCGAATGTCCAACAATTGCTGAAAAACAACAAACGTCGAAGTGTTCCCCCGGAATGTTTTAGATGACAATCGCAAATTATCAATAAGTAGTAATTAATATCTTGCACGAGCATAGTTTTGATACAAGAACTCTACAGCTTCTTTGCATTGAATGCTATAGGCCACATTAACAAAATTATAAATTTCTGCTTCTATTGATAAAAGGCTGCAATATTCCCGAGGGCTGTAATGGGCATGGGTACCATAGAACGCAACTCAATAAGGATTTTGATATTTCTTTGAAAACTCTTTATTCCACGGAATGTCCGAGAAAGTGGGCCGTATATGGCAGGAGTTACGTCAATACAAAGTTGTTCATTAAATCGTACTTTATGTTTTCAGTAATGCATTCTTCCGGGTGGTTATTAGTGATCAGACAAATGTAATAACCTGTCTTCTAGATTGAAAAATACATCTAGTGTTAAAGAATAAATTATCTAGGTACAGTGATTTAAAACAAACTATTCTGTTTTAAATGAGATAAATCTGATTCAAATAAAGTAATTTGATTTAAATCCAACAAATCTAATTCATTTATAAAAAATATTAATCTTTATTACCTTCCTCTAGACCACTAGTTCTCAAACGGAGGTCCGCGAACCCTTTGGGGTCCGCGAAGGAATTCTAAGGGTCCGCGAAGCCCTGCGTCATCAGTAAGGCCCGGCAATAAAAGTTGTATTTTTTTCAGATCGAGAAGAAATGTTTCAGTTTCCTGGCGAGCTTTCTCGTATGTATGTCAATAAGAGAAATATACTTCACACTAACCCTTAGTCACACCCATTTATTAAATCATTATTATATTTAACCCATATCTTTCCCCTTCCTTCACCACGAACGGGGTCCTCCGTCATCTCCGCCCATCCACAAGGGGTCCGCGAAACATCGATGGTTGAGAACCACTGCTCTAGACTCTAAAGGGTCAAACTTAACAACAACCACAAAAAAAAAAAAAAAAAAAATATATATATATATATATATTTATGTCGCTCACATCACAAGGTAGGAAGAAATCGTAAAAGAAAGCTATTGAGTTTGGGATTCTCCTCAAGAAATCGTACAAAGTTTGTTTCAATGTAGAGTGCACCCCAAACTTAACGCCGCCACTGGGTTCATAAGTGTACCCTTGTGCCATTTTGTAAAATGTCGTTTTCTGGGGGGAAAAAAAAGAGAAAAAGGTACTGCTCTCGATTTTAGGAAATCAAATTGAACATACAGTATTAGGAATATGGCCTCGTCTCAATCGCACCTTCAACAGCTTGTCGTGTGACCGAAGACCACCGGTAAATCCGCCTCCGATGTCGAGCACGGTCATTGGGTGCCCGATCCGGATGCCTTCGTCGAAGACGCTTCTTGCCTCCGCGATCGACCGAGCGAAGATATCGGGACATCGGTAGGCCGCTCCGACGTGGAACCTGAAGACCTCAGACCAAACTAAATAAATCGAAACTTGAAAAACAAAATGACTGCTCCTTGATGTTATTTATAAAGAGCAAGGCTCCTAAATTACCCAGTTTCACCCAGCTTGGACGATAGTTTTGCTAGGGTGCCTGGAACGCGCCTGCAACTCCCGTGTTCACAACGTCCTAGAAAGTGGTCCCGCGATTTGCGCCTGATGACGTCACTCAAGTGTGAGGTTGCAGAGCCATATATTGGAAGAGTTTGGCTAACGGGCGGAGCAAACGCCACCGCCAGCGTCAAAAATTTCCCCTGCGGTTAGAGCGTAAACTAAAAGTGCCACACAATGTCGACCGAACGGCAGACCTCAGCGTCACAATATTAGAAATGACATATAAAGCGTTAAATAAAAGCGTTCAATCTCGCAGCAGCAATGATTGCTACTACGCCCTTTACAAAGGGCATAGCCAATATCATCCATCCATCCTTCTATGACGGCCCAGGGAACCTACGACTAGGGGTGTCGCGACCCGATCGAGGTTCGAGCTCTACCAAGTTTGACTCTTTCGAAGTTCTTGCGAAAAGTTCGACAAAGGTTCGACTCAGGTTCGACTGCTATGCCGCAGCGACAGGCTGGTCAGTTGGCTTCGAATTGAATGGTGATGGCTAAGGGATGAATTAAGGGCAGCACTAATTGGTTATTTCAGTTAATACAGCTCAAAAAGAAATAAGTTATGAACTTCTTCAGTGATTATAATTAGTTTATTTTAATTTAAACTCTTCACAAAATTAAAATAACACTTTGCATAAAAAAAAATTGTTAAACCTAGACATGCTTGTATCAAGGTCTGACCACACTGTCTACAAAGTCGAACCGGTTGAATCTGGTTAAAAGGTCGAAGGTTCGTCAACCCGGTTTGAACCAGTCGAATTTTGAAAGTACGACCTAAAAATCCGGTTCGACAGAAGTTCGCGACAGCCCTAGCTACGACTACTGATCTCTACTGTTGTAGGCTGGATCGCGGATCACGAGCCCGTCGGTGGCACCACCGGTGGCCACTACTTGACACCAGGCAATACACGCAAGTCCATGGGAGAAACACACAAAAGTAGGAATAGTGAAACTTGCACTCGGTGCTTGAAGGCAAGTATTTTATGATGTACTGCGATCATTATATCGGATGTTTGGAGGTCGAATTAGTATTTGTCAAGCCTTCGAACGCCGATTAAAAAAATCAAACGTACCGGAGCACCCACGGCTGGGCTGGTAATTTTGCTCTTGTCGCGCAGTAAACAAAGGAACTTTCCGTCAATAAGACAGTCCTCGGGGAAGCCTAGTACCCAAGCAGCACAGAGCTGGCCAAGCATTGGCCAATGGGTGGCAGTGGTCCTTTGGCCAGTGGCCAGACAGTGGGCAGAGATTGGCCGATGACTGGCCTTTCCCTGGCCATTGGCCAGTGTCCACTGGTTATCAGCCATTGGCCAAGCATTGGCCAATGAATGGCCACTCTTTGGCCACTGGCCACAAGACCATCCCCTGCCATTGGCCATTGCCTGGCCAAATTCCGTGCTGCTTGGGTAGTTAATGAATGTCGAAAAAGTTCCATGTTGACAGCGGCTTTCCGGGGGTGAGCGAATTCCGTGTTGCAAAGCCTCCTCCAAGCTTGTCGTCTGCTCAACCCATTTCATAGAAACCACCACCGACTCCGCGGTAACTCTAGGTAACTCTCGTCTCATTGAGCTGCATTACACATTTCGCCAGCGGAGTCTCTCTCCACCGCAAAACATTTATTTATGAGAACTGCGAGTGCTGCCAGTTTTAATGTTCGTGCACAAGCCATTCCGCAGGCTTCCCAAGAAGCAGCCAAAAAGTTTCAGTGTCGACCACAGCTTAAGAACGAAGGAAACGGTACTTTTTCTCGTTTCTCCCGTAGAGTCCCATGCATTAGCTGGTGTCAAGTGATGGCTCCCGGTGGTGCCACTAGACCTTAGCTAGTCAAGCCTCGATCCATTCTACTACAATAGAGATCAGTGTGTGTGCATAGCTTTATTTTTTGTTCTTCGCTCGTACTTTTTGACGGGACTTCTAGCATCAGCTGCGAGGATTTCAACATTCGACAGCATGACACGACGGCCCCTGTGACGTCATTTGTTGCCACTTCGGGACAACTTTTGATCTAAAGGGCAGGATACGATGAAAAAGACACCTGTTCAAAGCACGCGCGTTTCAAGCGCCTAGTTCTTTGCACGGACTTCGGGGGTCAGAATGAGGTGGGAGTGCTGCGGCCTCCAAAGTTTTGAAAACCACAATGCTAATGAAATTGTGTATTAAAGCCCCTTGATTGAGAGGAGAGGCATCGCGAAGGGGCCGTGGAGAACACTGGAGGAGTTTGCCGGACGCTCAGATCTTCGACGTAGACGATAGTTTACAAGGATTATATTCCGGTGAAAACAAAGATGGGGCACGAAAGGTTCAGGTGCGAACCTGCGTTGGTACTTCGAATATCTCCAGAATATTGAGAAACCTTTAGTCTAATGCTTTTTTTTTTCATTTTCCAAATTTTTATTTACATGCTATTATAAGCCGCTTTTATTTTCGGCGAGAGGTGTGTGAGGCTGAGGACAAATCTGCGGGTGATTGTGTAAATGGCCGCTGAATGCTCAGAAAAAGGAGAAACGGCAAATTATTTTTAACGTGCTTACCACGTGTTAGGGGAGATATCAAGCAGTTAAAGAATCGAGTAATTTTAGTATGATATAAAAGTATAAGCATATTCACTTTTTACGCATACGAGGGACTATGCAAAAAAGACCAGTATAGAACGCATTTTCGTGGCGGCCGCCATGTTGATTTCCCACGTAGCTGAGTTGGGGTAGAACAGCAAATCACTTTACTTGCCAAATGGAACGCGCTAAAATTAAAGGGGTTCGTGCCAATAGTTCTACTTTCTTCTTCTCTATAATTTGCTTATTTTAGTTATGCTTAAACTATTTACTTTATAGTTTTTTGTCGTCCAACCCCTCCATGTCATATTTCAAACTGGCAACCGTACCACAAAAACGGTCTACTGCACGGAAGTTATGAAACAGGTGGTTTAGAGTCAGGCACACGTACGCAATGCCAACGACCTTGAAGCCCATAAAGGAAGCGATCTGCAGCAGGTTTCCGGCGTCCTCGAGGCGACAGCCGAACTTGTTGTTCATCGTGATGCCGCTGCCGGTTTCGTTGGATGCAATGCGAAGCAATAATCTGAAGAAAGAAATTGCGTATATTAAACGGAGTTTAGCAAATGAAGTATTAAGTACCATCGGCAACAATATGAGGGAAAACAGTTCCTATTTCTTCTTTCCAGCCTCACGGTTCCCACAGGCTTCCGGTTAAATCTCAACCTGTTGAATAGTATGTAGTTCGTGATATACATTTTCCGTACTAGCCGTCGTCAGGACGATTACATGTTCCAAAATTTGTACATACGTCAAAAAAGCGAGAAAGTGTGTTCGCGTTCATGTTCTTGCTTACAGTGCACTACAGCTCCATCAGCAACATAATGAATGCACAGAAGAAGCACGATTAAACGCACAAAGCTAGAGTATAGAAGCTATGAAACCAAGTTACTCTTACCCCCTCAGCTGTGCAGGTATCTCAGAGAGAGTGGAGAATAGAGAACTACCGCAAACTATAACTTAACATAAATGTGGCCGAATTCAGAAAACGAGTTTCCGCAAGATAATATGGGGCTACATCTTTTTTTTTTACCCCTTTAGGACTTTTGTTGCTGCGATAGTATCTCTTTCTCATGAAGCACTGATTGTAACATGCTTATATTTAGGACGTCGACCGGAAAATAGAGGCCACTTTCGGAATCGCTCCAAGTAACACTGATCTCAACAAAAAGATCATAGATCACTGGATAGAAAGGGTATGTAAAAAAATAAACTCCCCTTAAAAAAAAAAAAAGACATCTACCGCAATATTCACGTCGAGAGACTAATTATTACTTAAAAAGAATTCTGGAATATCTATGTATTTCAAGACGTCAACCCCAAAATAGAAGCATCTCGTAGAAAAATGCCTTATACGTAGCTGTTCTAAGAATCGGGAAAATGAGGCCCTATATGGCTATATGTATAATATATGGCTATATATAGGGTGTCTGAAGTCACCAGGCTCGGTGTAAAATGTACCGTAAAAATCGGCGCCTGAACGAAGGAATCTAAACTTTTCGTCAAAGGTGTATTTCACAGGCCGATTTTTTCTCGTAAAATTACAAGGCGTTTCTTCCTTTCTGCAGAAAATAGGGCCAAAATACTTAACAGGGTCAACGGTGGATGATCACGCAGACTACCGAGTCGAGTTGGGGGCGTGCGTATCGATAGATAGCGTAGGGAGCAGTCGAAAGGTGCATCCGATCACCGAAAGAAAGCCGACGACGCACAGACGAAATCCGTCGGCAGCAAGACCGCCGCCGTCATGGAACCGCGTTTTTATTTTTTGTTTCCTCTAAGTTTTGCCTTTATTGTCTGCATTTATTTGTTATCCAAAGGAACATGATAAAAACATTGTGTTCATTTTAATAAACCACGGTGGTCGCGAGCAGTCGCGATAAGGAGGCAATGCTATCTATCAATACGAGCGCCAAACGCGCCCCACCACTCGGCTTGATCGTCTGCGCCGCCTCCCGCCGTTGACCCTTGCAAGTTTCTTGGCCCTTATTTTTACAGAAAGGGAGCTACGCTTTCTAATTTTGCAAGAAGAAACCGACCCGTGAAATACACCTTAAACGAAAAATGTAGATTGCTACGTGCAGGCGCCGATTTTTAAGGCCCAAATTAGGTCGAGCCGGGTGATTTCAGTCATCCTCTATATGACATTACCTGCCCGACTTTCAATATGCCCATGTATGGGAATTCTGCACGGGAAGTTTGGGAATTGCTGAATGTTGCGCTATATTTGTTTCCTTCGAGAAACTTTATTTTTGTGGCATACCATGGTCCTCTCTAAACACTCGAAGGAAAAGTTTTTTTTTTTAAGTTTAGTGTTTCTCTAAGTGCGGTGCATGGAACGTGTCTCCGACTATACTCGGCGACAACTTTTCTTGGCAATGCAGTGGAGGGTACACGCACGTGTTTTCTATCCAATTTTGAGCGCTGGATAAGGCTGTGCGTGGGCTGTCGTCAACTTCCTTGCATTGCCAAGAAAAGTTGTCGCCGAGTATAGTGTGTTTATCGCGTCAAATAAAACAAAATCTTTACATTTCTGTTTTATGACATCATTGAAGTGTCGCGCTGCCGCCGGTTGCGATCCAGACGGTGTCCCAGCAGCGGTGGTGGATGCGTCAGACACCTGTTGTGCTGCAAGTCGCTCTCCAGTTTGACAGTCCACGGATGCTTCGGCGGCCAGGGGTTGGGACGCCGCGACGACAGCGACACTCGCGTCCACTCGTGTTTTTCGCCGGAACTTCTACGACGACCGACCACTAGGATCCCGATATCGGGCAGCATGACACCCCGGCTTAAGTGACGCCATTTTTTGACTCTTCGAGACCACTCTCGATCTATGGACAGGATAAGACGCTTAACGCACCAGTCGGACACGTGTTCCAGGCACCAGACAGTAACTGCAGGATGAAAGGCTTCAATACCTTTCGTACACTTGTTGAAACAAAGCAAAAAAAAAAAAATAAATAAAGAACCTGACAATGATCTCAGTACCGGGCGTTCTTGTCACTGATCTTGCCGAGTTCCTCCATGCAGTCAAAGGTCATGAGTGTGACGCCGTACTCGCTGGCGAAGTCGAGGTGGGACGAAGACTTGATCGTGTTGGCGTACACGATGCGGTCGGGACTGACGCCCATCTCCAGAACCATCTTAATCTCGCTCTTAGAGAGAGAGAACAATAAAGAAGATTGTTAACAATTTATGTATTTTTGGCGCCAGAACAAAAAACTAATTCAGAGGGATAGTTGAGCGCATTTGAACATTATTTTATATATTAATCGCACAAAAACTCAATCAGCGCTGTTTTAATTTTTCATTTAGCTGGTCAGAAATAGACGCTCTCTTTATTCCTTACAAACGGATAGATGTTGGACGAGGTAACTTTTTGTTTTTCTAGCTTTTGATGTCAGCAATAGCATTTGTCTACTAATGTTTCAATAAAGGTCCCCTGTACATAACTCCGCCTAAATTAATTACTGATCACGAAAAGCTGAAACTTCGTGAGAATGTGATTTGAAACTTCGTGAGAACTTCGCGATTGTGAAAAAAAGCGAAAGTTTGAGCACATGACATTACCTGGATCAAAAAAGAAAAAAAAAAATACAAAGTATTCACGATGAGCCTGTCCACCAAAATTTAATATTCATCAAATTGAAATTTGTGATTGTGGGCGCGTGTAACAACAATGTCAGTGAAAGAAGACTTGTAGGAGAGAAAGAAAACAATATTGACTTTCTAAATGACGGGTCGTTTCACTCGCATAAATGCTGCAGGTGCACTGCCTACACTCTCAACTATCGGTATAAAGAAAATTAGGCTTAGGTGGACGTTGGATCATTGAGACTTTTTCTTTTTCTTTTATGTCTTTTGATCCAGGTAATGTCACGCGCTACCGCCACCACTACCGTTACACCCTCCCCGAGCTTGAGCTTTCTGCAAAGAGTAGTTTATTTACGCGATCTCCCCCCATATAGACGTGATGTATGTTTGACATGATGGTATTCTACAGGTGTATATACACGCTGCTGCTCCAGCGCCACTCTGGAGCAGACTTTCTAAATATAGCCGCAAAACAACGTGAAGCGTACCATGATTGTTCTTTCTTTCTGTATCGTGTTTTTTTAGAGTGGAAAATTGTGCCTCTAAGTGGGCGTCTGGAGTTCCCGCTGCGTGGGGGCAGTTTGTCCAGTACAGTACGAATTTAAAGATCGTCACTCAGTTGCGATTGCACGACCGCAGACTACTGCAAGGCACGTTCATATCATAAACGACAGGGGTAAGAACTAAACACCGGTGGTCAGCATGAACTCTATATTATACGCCGTCACGGCACAGAAGAATCTATTTGCATATGTTAATCTTTCCGAAGACCATGACACCGAAATCTTCGCGTGAATACGCTGAGCGCGCACATTTGTCGTCCTCTTATGTTTAGCGGGAGAGACATAGTAATGTTTAGCTACTTTTCAAATAAAACAGCTAGGAAGCACTGTCGTTAATTTCTTTCACTGTGAAATAGCAGACGACCACAATTTCAGCCTGCATCCGATATCACTTTGCCGGGGCACTCGGTTGGTTGCAAACGATTCACTTTTTTTTTTTTTGTCTGCAGTCGGATTACGTTGTTGACATGACTAATTTTTGTTTGCGAATAACGCTTCTAAGAAGACAGATCCCACTTTCGTTAGAAAATGAAGAGCCTGCGGACGATATCTCAGCTCGCTCCGCGAGAGACAAATTATAGATATCGCTCCGACAAGCGGTGACTAAAGTCGGGCCTCAGCAAAAACCGCCTAAGCAAGACCGAAAAAGAAAATAGTAAGCATAGGCGGACCGTATACGTTCCTTGTTCAACCTATTGCGATCTGTCGCTAATGAAGTCACTCGTTATGCTTCTTCGCTGCTTCAACAGCAAAAAACGACGGCAATAACCAATCGTCCGGGTGTAAGCAAATTGAAAAAGTTCGGGATGCTGTTCATCGAGATGGCCGAACATGGCTTACCGGAAGGGGAAATGGAAAGGCGTTTCGTGAATCTGCACTACGTCATTGCTTGACACTGGTAGCACAAACACTCGTTTTTTGGTGTGTGTGTTTTTTTATTTAAAAGGTCGTCATTGAAACTTCTTGCGTTGTGTGAACTGCTCGTTTAGAAAACCAATATAAGCGGTAAGATGCGGTGCTTTTCAATAGCCTGTCTGAGTACATTGCCAAAAACTGAAATGTTATGTTCGCGCTAGCTGTGTCGCAGCAGTGTACACAATTTGTGTAAACGTATCAACGACACGAGTACACACACACAGACCACACAAGGCAAAAAAAAAAAAACAAAAAAAAAACAACGCGCCAGTTAAAGCAGAGGAAACTACGCGGGGTAGGGGCCTTCGCGAACAAGACATATCAGTTGTTTGCAATTGATAGCACGTGCAGCTCCTACGGATTGCCTTGCCATGCAAGAAAAAAGAAATGTAGTGAAGATAAAAGAAGAATTTGCGGTGGGCACCTGATCAAACAAACAAGACAAGGTTTGTTACACACTATATGTCCATTGATTCTGTGGAACGTTGAAGGCCCGGGGGACGGAAAAGGGGAGAGGAAGGGGGGAATCCCTGAAGCGTTAGTACGTCTGCTTCGTAAGAATATTACTCGTAGTCAACTATAGAATAGGAACGTTTTGCACGTAGTTATTTCATGCATTGAACGAATTTTTTTTTTTTTACAAGATTTGGTGTCCAGAGATGTTTTTAGTTTGTAGAGTGTATACCTTTCGGTCAAATCGCGAATAGTTGACCTTAAATGCCCATATACGAGTTTCTTAACTAACTACATAACAAAGGAAAAATAACAGAGCGACGGAAGAAGCTAAACCTAATTCACTACGGTTTTTGAAATAAAACAAAAAATCGAGGATAGTAGTTATACCATTCGAAAGAGACAAATGCCCAACAGTGTAACACTGGTCGCTTTCATGTCAGTTGTATACTCCTTCCTAACGAACATTTTGTTTTAATGCTGAATTGCTAGCTTACTGAAGCTAACTCGAATTGGGCCTTGAAAAGTGAAGCGAGTCACGGAGGTCTCGAGAGTTGCACTCACAGCGCTCGTACACCATATACACGAAAGATATATATGGTGCAGACATGATGACAGACTTATCTGAGTACACGCGCCTCACGCGCGTTTGAAGCATGTTTGCGCATGACACGTACGTATGCTTCGCTCATCTCTGCAGACAGTTATTTGATGACCAATGTGACCGTCGTACGAGGAAGAAACACGCCTCAGATAGTAGAGAGTTTTAGGGAACGGTTTTGGCACGCGTGGTACGATGGGCCCTCAGGTAGGAATTGAGCATGCGCTACCACAGAAGACTCGCGCATGCGCAGTTGGTATCGGAGGGCCTACCGTACCGCATGCATCGGATAAGCAAAAACGGTTCCATAAACCTCTATAATGTTTCCAGACTGTCTCTTTTGAATGATCGATGAGTAGCAGTGCGCTGATGGCGGCCACGGTTGATGGGAGTTTGCCGGCCGCAAGCATGTTAGATACATGTTCCAGCTTGTTACAAGCCTAGTCATAAAAAAACAAAATTAAACATTTGTAATAGCCATATGTGACCATGTTACATGCTATGTCGCACGCGAGTCGAGTGGCTGTCTGTAGCAAAAGCAAATTGTTGTGTGTATGTTATTACAGTCGGAAGTTAGTCTGCCTCAGTGGGCGTCTTCTGTCTCAGCTGTAGAGGAGCAATTTAGCCAGTGAGGTACAACCGCTAGCCTGGGGTCTTTAACGTGCACCACGAAGTAGTGATACACGACCGCACGCCGGTACGATGCTCATCCAGATAGAAAAGGTCAGGGGTAAGGATTGTATCCGGGATCTCTGGGTTCTGCAGCGCGAGCTTTCGCTCCGCTTGCTCCGAGCTGGTGTGCGTTAGCCCACTCGGCTGCCGATCTCCCTGCTGCCTGTAGAATCTGCTCATAATGTTCCGCTATAGCTCTCGTTCGGTGGGATTTACGAGAGCCAAGCGAAGGCCGTGGACAGAGGACAAACCACGACGAGCAGACGATCTGAGCGACAGCTGAACGGTTTGAGAAAACGAAAGTGTGCGTGGCGTTGCGCGTTTCCGAGACCGAGGGGTGAGCCTTTGCAGTGTAAGTGGCTCCAGAAATCATACCTCGTTATCCGTCCGTCAGGGTTTCGTTTCACCGGCCTGAGCCTCATAGATTAAGCGAACCATATGTGACCTCGCATGTGAGCCTCATAGATCACGCGAACGTCGCAGTCACGCGAACTACAGTGCTCTTAATTTTACGAGGGCCACCAAGCTACGCATACCATTAAATTTCGGCCCTTGGCCGCGTACGTGGCAAGTTAAGGGCCGCTGCTGTGGACAGGACCACCCCAAATTGGAGTCTCGTGCGCTAGGAATTTAAGTTCTTCGCGACAGGAGCGTACCAGATTGCAGTGGCGTAGCCAAGAACTTGTATCGGTGGCTTCAAGTGCCTAGGATGTCCATGACTTGGGGTGTAGGGGAGGGGGGGGGGGGGGGCTCAAAGTAATGCATGTGTGTAGTATAATTTACAAGGTCGACTGAATTTAAGGGGGGGAGGGCGGGCAATTCTTCATAAGCTCCCCCTCTGGTTACGCCACCGCCCCCCATTCCAGGTAAAATTGAGTTGGTTCAACGTTTGTCACGATAAATGATAATAAAATAATCCCGTGAACGAATGAAAGAGCTGTGTCTACCTTTGGGAAACGCTAACGCTCACCCTTTCACTTCTTTTTTTTTTTTTTTGCCTTCCATTTTTTTATCTTTTTGACCTCGTTATGGGGTCAATGTTTGCGTTTTTCAAATGGGGACGTGTGTGGCGTTTCCCAAGGGTCATGCTAATGGATTCCCCAAAAATTCACCAATAGATCGTCTTGTATTTTTTATTCACCCCTTTCTTTGTACTCTGCCTTTCAGAGTACGTCGACGCCCTTTAGATACGGTCATTTATACCACTCGCGGAAGGAACCGCATCTATATCACTCGTGGAGTGAACTGCATTCCTTGTTTTAACTATGCACACACATCACAGCCCACTCACCGCTACTATAGAAACCCAGAACGAAGAACAACCAGCGACAACGGAGCAGCAACTGAGCACGCCCGC